CCACACATTTTCTAATTTGCTCACCTTCTAGTGTTTTGCTCTTCCTCATCCAAGCAGCAATCCTCCTGTCTTAGATAAATCAACTCTTCATCATGTCATTACCATAACCCTCAGTGATAACCCTCACCATTTCTCTCCTGAACAACTGCAGCAGTGTCCTCCCATTACCTGTTATTATGCCCCCTCCAAACGCCTAATTCATTCTCTGCATTGCTGGAAGTAATCTCCTTGAACTAAAAATCTAATTATTTAGGGCACACTCTCCCAAACCTGAAGAAAACTTAAACTCTAAATGCCATATATAATTTTCTAGACTGGACTTTTGTGTAGTTTTAGGCAATACTTTAAAAAATAGAACCTAATTGATATTTATAAAGGATTTTTAAAAAATGAGTAAATGGTTGAAAGACCCAGATCAAAAGTTCTTTACTTTTTCTTAGTTCAAAGATACAGTTCATGTAAACAGATTCAAGGACAATCATAAATGTCTTTCACTCAAGAACTATAGGTTGTCCAGCCAATAAATAGTGTCGTTTTCGTAAATTAAAAAACAACAACAGGGCTTCCCTGGTGGCGCAGTGGTTGAGAGTGCGCCTGCTGATGCAGGGGACACGGGTTCGTGTCCCGGTCTGGGGGGATCCCATGTGCCGCGGAGCGGCTGGGCCCGTGGGCCATGGCTGCTGAGCCTGCGCATCCGGAGCCTGTGCTCCGCAGCGGGAGAGGCCACAACAGTGAGAGGCCCGCATACCGCAAAAAAGAAAAAAAAAAAAAACAACAACAATACTATATCCGTATGTTGAGACTAATGAAATAGTTTATTATTTTTGCCTTCACAGAATAGCACAAATTCATGGAATAGCAGTCATCAATACTGTTTCTAAATATATATTAAAAATATATGTGTATAAAACACAACTACAATAAACTTTAATTTGCACTGGTTTCTAACTAAAAATCCAATGCTTTCCAATGTTTAGGGCAGATTAAGGTAGGTCTATTGTGAATCAGTCATATATAGTCTGTAGATTATCTACTATGACAAGTCTGAGCCTTTCAATCTACATGTTTAAACAAACTGTTTGCTGCCTTTGCACAGGCAGGTGGAAAGAATTTCTAGCTACGCACTCACTAAGATGGGATCAAAGTTGTCATAATACACTTTATGATACTATTTTAAATTAAAGAAAAATGAAGCTCAATTATTTCATTTTTCTAAAATATTAGTGTTCTTCATACACAGATCACTAATGCTGAAAACAAAACCAATAAAACAATGTTTAAAAGGGTTGCATGTTTCATTGTTTTTTTGTGAGCAGGATTAAGTGTAACAGTTTTGTTGTAGTGTCTGTGTTATTGCTGATTCTTTCCTTTGCTTCTCAATTAAAACAAAAAAGAGCTGGTGGTTCAAAAGAAACTCATTTCTTTTCTCCACATGACTGTTGGGAAGATCCTAAGCAAGCCTGAATCAATAATTATGATGAATCCTTTTACTTAAAAAAAAAAAATTAGGTTGCTTTACCCATAAATACACACTTGGAAATAAAGAAATGTTTTAAAGAGATGCATTAGGCAAACTATTCTATCAACTTTTCAACTATGGCTCCTGCTTGGCCTGAACCGATAGTGACAGACATGCCCTGAGGCGAAGCTGTGACAATAACATACAAAATAATAAAATGCTTAAACAAAGGAGGCAGAACTATTATGAAGAGTGCCCCCTGGGGTTGAACTGAGAGCCTTTTTCTTTCAAAACACTCTTCAAAATACTGTACCCCAATTTATATCAATAGACAGCTGGATGGCTGGGTGGCCGGATGGCCAGCTGGCTAAGAACTGGAACAAAAAACTGAAAAACACTTTCTCTTCACATATTACCTTTCCTCCACCCAAGCCTCTGAAGTGTTCCCAGGATTCCATTTGAATATAAGTCATATTTTTGGCATACAGATTAAAAATCAAGATCACCATGTATGAGATAATGTATGTGAAAAGAACTATACCTGTAAAATAACTATTAAGAGCTATGCAAAAGTAAGACATTTTCATTACACATTTTAATAACCATGGTTTCAATACTCTGAACACTGTGTTGCTTTTTAACTAAATTCATACTATAACCATCACATCCTATGTCACTTTTAGAAACTACTTATGGAACTACTTCCTCAAGTTCTTTCTTTAAAAAAAATAAAATTGGCACATTTTTCTCTCTATTGAAAGGGGGTTCTCATTTCCTTTTTTCCCATTTGTGGGTTAGGATAAAAACACAAGTTGGGGTTTCCCTGGTGGCACAGTGGTTGAGAGTCCGCCTGCCGATGAGGGGACACGGGTTCGTGTCCCGGTGCGGGAAGATCCCACATGCCGCGGAGTGGCTAGGCCCGTGAGCCATGGCCACTGAGTCTGCGCATCCGGAGCCTGTGCTCCGCAACGGGAGAGGCCACAACAGTAAGAGGCCCGCGTACCGCAAAAAAAAAAAAACCAAAAAAACACAAGTTGACATTTCTAACATAAAATGTTTCCTTTATCCTCTTCTTAAAAAAGTTTACTATAAATGGAGTCATAGGGACAATATCATTTGATATTTACTGATCTAATTTCATGCAACTAGAATTAAAATAATTGTTAATAAATGGAATAAATGTGTCCTCAAATATCTACAATATATTTAAAATAAAGTTTGAATTTTAAAAATAAAATATTCTAATGGAATTAGACTTGCTAACTGCTATTGTTCATTCTAAACACTTGCTAGAGTTCAGACAAACATATAACATTGTTTTCTTCGGTTGCAGTACTTTATAAATGGTCTTATTTTACCATTTACCAAACCTCTTTTGTTGAGTTATTCAAACTAACTTCTGCCAAGAACACTAGGAATTTGGTGATAGTGCTTCTTTTTGGAGAAAAACAACCCCTTTCCTCAGAAAATTGAAAATGTTTATCTTGGCACTAAAACCTTGTATTGAGCCTTCTGGAAAGTATTTTAAATTGTTGTTTTTAACCTAGACTCTGTGACTGAAACAGGAAAAGGTTCCGTAGCTCTGCACCAAAATACATATTTATAGGGTTGATTTTCTTTCTACACCAAAAATACTAGTTTGATGGCAGCAGTTTTCAAAGTATAATATCCTAGGACCATGCCTAACATTGGGCATTATCACTATATTCAAGACAATTTGTTTTTTAAACCTCAAAAACTTCTGATGTCTAAGAAATGCTAAATGTTGATCAAATATGCTATAAGTGCTATATTGGGAAGGACTGTTTCACTTAACTACCTGGTCTGTTAGGAATTTTCACACACAAAATAAATTTTATTTGATACTGTAATTTCCTCCTGTGCATGCCAACAAAAGATATGTTTCTAAGTCTTTATCTTTTTTTTTTACATTTCTCCCACTAGGTATGCTTTAGCTTCAGATTAGACAGCATAAAGATAAATCCTTGAACTTTTTGCATTACTGTCCTAATAATGTGTCTGAATACCATTAAGAAATCTTTGGCAATTGATGAAATGAAAGAGTCATTGTTCTTAACTCCCCTACCAAACCCCTAAATTGCTAGAATATACAAAAGAGACTACAGGAGTTGTAAGGTATATATGAAAGTATATTAAAAATAGTAGGTCATACAATTTCACAAAGACCCCCAGATAGCTGCAACGATTTTTCAGTCGCTAATAACTGACATAGAATACTATGCACTCCATCATGAATACGTCCTTCCCACCTTAAAAACTTCATCCATTTTTTTCCTTCTAACAGCTTGTCTGTCCTTTACAAGAAAAATTACAGCACCATCATCATTTTATACTTGCATATAACATTTTTTATAGTTAAAGGAAGTTCAAATTATATCATTGTGCTTATCAAGTATTTATTAGAATGTTCTGACAGGAAATTAGTTGTTTAAACATTCTGCTATGGTTGAATTGCCTTATTTAGGTTAAACAAAAAAAGATAAAGATATCTACTAAATATATCTTACTAAAATCCATAACTGTTTTTGTCAATCAAGTGCAATTTTTTTTTTTTTTTTTTCCGGTACGCGGGCCTCTCACTGTTGTGGCTTCTCCCGTTGCGGAGGCACAGGCTCCGGACGCGCAGGCTCAGCGGCCATGGCTCACGGGCCCAGCCGCTCCGTGGCATGTGGGATCTTCCCGGACCGGGACACGAACCCACGTCCCCTGCATCGGCAGGCGGACTCTCAACCACTGCGCCACCAGGGAAGCCCTCAAGTGCAAATTTTAATTTTAAAAGCCTAGAACTTCCTGCTGTGATTGAATTCTGCCTATATCCAGAAAAATCAAGAAAGAGTCTATTCAAATGAGTTTAATAAGAGTGAAACAAATAGGAATTACTGGTATTACAGAAAATGACGATAATGAAGGAGTGGGCTCTTCCTAATCAAAAATCCAACTCCCATACTGTTGTGTTTGTATGACAATGATAGGTACCATTTTTACTGGCATTAAAATTCTGAGCCATCCTAACACTCCCCCACATTCCTCAGAGTCTCAGTATCAATGAAAAATGCAACTCTGACATAATGGACTAACTTGATATTTTACAGACAGTGATTAGTATGCTAGGTTACGTTCGTAAAAGACTTAGATTAAGCCCTACCATCACTTTTTTCTCATTTAAATTTAAAATGTTGATTGTTTTATAAGGTGAGCGAAGAATATCTAAAATGAGGTCCACAATAAACAGAAATTCACCTTTCAAGATCTGAGGACTATTAATTTACATATTCAGTTTTCCAAGATGAACTTATAAGCATAATGTGAAAAATCACATCTTCCTTCCCTCTCTTTCTCTATTCACTAAGGAGCAGTGACTTATCTCTAACCACTCTAGAAAATAAAACAAAGCAAACAAAAATTCATGTCACTTGTGGGGCATAATAATTTAGAAAACACTTTAGTTACACGGTTGATTTAAAAATTACAAAGGAAGAGTATTTTTTCTATTAAAATAAATAGGTATAACAGAACATACCTGAAAAAGAACATGTACATGGCAGCTGTGATGCAGAATAAAAGGACCTATAACAAGGAGAAAATACGTTACTTACAAAAGAACACTGACATCATCATTTGTGTGTCTTAGAAAGCAAAATACCCACTATTAAATCTTGTACCTGAAACAATTAAAAGATGTACGAAGCTAGTCATACACATATCACATTCTCTACCTTTCAAATAAGTCATATCAAGGCAATAATAAGTCTGTATATTTACACACACATATAAATAAATAAAATTATAAACATTATACAGTATGTATGTGTGTACATATATATATATAACACTATATATGTGTGTGTGTGTGTGTGTGTGTGTGTGTGTGTGTGTATAGGCTGGGTAGAGGGTAACAGGGTTCAAAAAGGAATAGCCTATTTAAAAAATTATATCTAAGAATTCCTCAAGAAGCAAGTAACCTAAGAACAGAGACAATGGCTTTTAAATAGTGAAGTCAGCAGAAAAATCATAAAGCTTATTAACTATTATATCAAGATGACCAGACTTTTAAAATATAAAACACAGTCCAGTTGTCAACCAATTGTAATCAATAAGAAAAGCTCCTAAAAATATAATCATCCTGTATGGGATATAGACTCCCTATAAAAAAATAAATTCCTCTAAAAGCAAGCATCAGAACACACAATAAATCTGGATTAAAGAAGCTTCCCTAGAACACGTCATATGAAACACAAAGTATATTACTAAGATGTATATGGAAAGAATTCAAACCCAAGTCCTTACCAAAAGCTTAGTTATGCCAACACAGTGGATCTCCATAAAATTGTTTTAAATCAGTAAAACGGAAGTTGTAAACTGTGTTCTTATGTTAACAATAAGAGTGTAAATTAAACACAAGGATTGTCAATGGCCTCACATCATAGACAAATGAACAATCTTCAACTATTAAAAACTGACCACAAGGAACCATGAAAACAAAAATGGTACAAAATAGTGTTTAGCTATTTCCAACACAATTTCTAGTTGACTTAAGGAAAGTATAATAGTTTTGCTATTACAAATTGAGCTTGATAGGTTTGCCACCTTGGCTTAAGATAAGCATTATAAATACAATCTGAATGACTTAGAAATATATAAACCTACCAACCCAAAAGAGGATGGGCATCACATTCCCTGGCTTCAAACTACATTTCAAAGCTGTAGTAATCAAAACAGTATGGTATTGGCATATAAACAGAATAGAGAATGATACAGAATAAAAGAGCCCAGAAATAAACCCATGCATACACGGTCAATTGATTTATGATAAAGGAGCCATGAATATACAATGGGGATAGAACAGTCTCTTCAAAAAATGGTACTGGGAAAATAGGATGGCTACATGCAGAAGAATGAAATTGGACTACTATCTTACAGCACACACAAAAATTAACTCAAAATGGATTAAAGACTTGAATGTAAGGCCTGAAACCATAAAACTCCTAGAAGAAAACACAGTTGGTAAGCATAGGTCATGGTGATTTTTTAAAATCTTACACCAAAAGCAAAAGGAACAAAAGCAAAAATAAAGTGTGATATCAAATTAAAAAGCTCTACACAACAAAGGAAACCATCAACAAGATGAAAAGGCAACCTACTGAATGGGAGAAAATAATTACAAATGACATATCGGATAAGGGGCTAATATCCAAAATATATAAAGAACTCATACAACTCAATAGCAAAAGAACAAACATTCTGATTTTAAAATGGGCAGAAGATCTAAATTTTTCCGAAGAAGACATATGATGGCCAACAGGTTCATGAAAAGATGCTCAGAATCAGGGAAATGCAAATTAAAACCACAATGAAACATCACCTCACACTTGTTAGAATGGCTATTACCAAAGAGACTAGAAATAACAAGTGTTGGTGAGGATATGGAGAAAAGGGAACCCTTGTGCACTGTTGGTGGGGATGTAACTTGGTGCAGCCACTATGGAAAACAGTATGGAGGTTCCTCAAAAAAGTAAAAATAGAACTACCATATGATCCAGCAATTCCACTCCTGGGTATTTATCCAAAGAATTCAATGAAAACACTAACTCAAAAAGATACGTGAAGCATTATTTACAGTAGCCAAGATATGGAAACAACCTAAGTGTCCATCAGTGGATGAATGAATAAATAAATTGTGGTGCACACACACACACACACACACACACACACACACACACGGGGGGGGGGGGGAGTATTATTCAGCCATAAAAAGGAGTGAAATCTTGCCATTTGCAACAACATGGATGAACTAAACTGACTTATTTTATTCAGTCAGAGAAAGACAAATACCATACAATATCTCTGATATGTGGAAGGTGAAGAAGGAGGAAGAAGAGAGAAGGGATAAGGAAGAAAGAAGGAAGAAGGAGAAAAAGAAACCAAACTCACAGATACAGAGAACAGAGTAGTGGTTGCAGGCAGCAGGGGAGTGATGGATAGGAGAAATGGGGGAGCTGCATGTTTTTTTAGTTTAAATAAACTAAACTTTTAAAAAAAGGATGGGTATCAATTACTATAAAACAAGTATTACTTTTATTAATTTCTTATATAAAATATATAAAATCTTTCTTAATATATAAAGTATATAAAATCTAATAGGGACTTCCCTCGTGGAGCAGTGGTTAAGAATCCACCAGCCAATGCAGGGGACATGGGTTCAATCCCTGGTCCAGGAAGACCCCAAGTGCTGAAGAGCAGCTAAGCCCATGAGCCACAACTACTGAGCCTGTGCTCTAGAGCCCATGAGCCACAACTACGGAAACCCGAGTGCCACAACTACTGAAGCCCACATGCCTAGAGCCCATGCTCCCAACAAGAGAAGCCACCGCAACGAGAAGCCCACGCACTGCAATGAAGAGTAGCCCCTGCTCGCCACAACTAGAGAAAGCCCGCGTGCAGCAACAAAGACCCAACGCAACCATAAATATATAAATAAATTTATTTTTAAAAATCTAATAAACATGCACACACTCTCCTCCTCTCCTCTCTCCTTCTTTTCCTCTCCATTCTCTCGCGCCTTCAAAAATACCCTATCCATGATGCATAAGGTTCATATCACTATTTTGAAAATGTAACTTAAAGCATGAGGAATAATTTTCATTTATTGACCAATCAATTATAAAGTCCAAGTGAGTTTGTTTTCTGGCTATAATTTGCCAGCCAATGCTCCAGATCACAAAACTCAGTTTTTATTTTCCTCTCCTTGTATCCCCTTTGGGCAATGCCAACCTTCCCAATTTTTCAATGTTTCACTCTTTCTCTCCACTAGTCATTCCCCTCGCAGACTCCACTCACAAACCTCTCTAGAAGTGTCCCAAAAATCTTTCCCACACTCTCTACTTTCTCCAAAGAAAACTCCAAAGTCCCTTTCCCTCAAAATGTTGCTATGCTCTATCCTCATATGCTAAACCTATCTGTGCTCATATTAAACTAACGATTATCTTTACAAATAATACCTTTGAAACTGGGAAAGAGCATAATGTTTAAAAACTCAAGCTCTAAAAAAAAAAAAAAAAAAAAAAACTCAAGCTCTAGAATAAGGCAAATACAGGTTTGAATCTAATTTTATGTGACTTCTGATGCTTTATATAATTTCCCTAAGCCTTTGATCCCTTATCACTAAAGTGAGTACATTACCTCACTTTGAATTGTTGGGAAGATTAAATGAGACGATGCTGCAAAGTGTCAGGCATTCGGCAGATTGTTTTTATTTTGTTTTGTTATTCATGGAAGTGATCTAGATATAAAAACCTCATCCAGAGATAGAAGCTTGGAAAAAAGTTTGTTTTTAAACAGGTAGATCTTTTGAAATCTCTCAAATTACCAATATTTGGAGCTGACCTCTTTCATAGAGCGGAGATTTAAGATATGAAAATCTGTGCAAGCAGGGGAAAACATGTAAGGAATATTAAAGTACAATTGATCAACTCATTCAAGAAATATTTACTGAACACATACTATGTGCCAGACACTATTCTAAAACTTACAACAGTATACAAAATGGACAAAGTCCTTGCCCTCCTGGAACTTATCTTCTAGTGAGGTAAGAGAAGATATTGAAATAGTATGTCAGACAGTGATGAGTTTTGGAGCAAAACAAAGCAGGATAAGGAAATAAAATGCAGGCGAGTAGGGGTGGTTGTTTTATACAAAGTGATCAAGGAAGCACAGACTTGTTAGTAGAGACACTGAGGAGATAAGGGATAAACGAGAGGACCATATCAACAGAACCAATGGAAAATTTTTGAATTTTATTTAGAAAGATGGTCAGTATTATGTCAAAGATGCTAAAGAAAGGATTTCATTTTTAGTAACACACAGTTTTCAAAGTTTTTTAAATTAATTATGCTAATTTCTTAAACATTGTAACTTCAACAGAGTGTTTTTCCAAATAAATGTAAATCTGCAATTAAATTATGAAGAAGATTTTCTCTGTGTTTCAAATTATAGAATTTTAGAGCTAAAAGGACCTTCAGGTAATATATTTTTTCATATTAGGAAACTTAGATCCTTAGAAGGTAAGTGATATATCCATGTTCTACCCTGTTAGTTGTATCTTGCATTTCCTCTATTAAACAAATATTGGTCAAATGTTTACTCTGTACCTGCTCCATAAAGAAGATATTTAAATACAATTCTAACCCTTAAGGAACTTACAGAATACTGCTCCACAGTCTAATTCTGTAGCTACTCTTTATACGTGTGGCTACTTAAAATTTTTTATAGCTTTATTGAGGTATAATTAACATATTTAATGTATACAATTTTGTTAGTTTTCACATAGGTATATATCTTTAAAATCATCAACATAATCAAGATAATGAACATATCATTATCAATAACATACAGCATTTCCGTATTATTATTTTAATACTTGTAGAATCTGTAGTGATGTCACCTCTCTCATTCCCACTACTGGCCGTTTGTATCCTATTTTCTTGATTAGTCTGAGTATAGACTTATTAACTGTATTGATTTTATCAAAGAATGAGCTTTTGTTTAATTGATTTTCTCTATTTTTCTGT